TTGAGCGCGGGGGCCAGAAATGGGTGAAAGGTTTGGTTTTTGAGCGAGCGGAATGGCTCTGTAGAGTGGTTTCTGAGTTGGGTTGTGAGCTCGGGGGAGAGCCATTCTGGTCAGAGTGGCACTGGTCTTGTCGATGGCCGGCCGACCGACCCCGAGCTCCTGATGATCGGGGCGAACAGTATTGTAGGGGCAGCAGGAGGATTCAGCTTAGAATGAAACCTGCAAGAAGCACACCCGTTTATCTGTAAGCTTAACAAAGCCCGAGGGCATTTGGATTGATAGACACGATGTTGTCAATCAGCGAATGTATCATCACATTTCGAACGCTTCTGGCGCAAGAGGTACACCACAGGTGAAAGAAAAGTTGCTGCCAACCAACTTTGCAACTTTTTTGGGGAAAGTTGGGAAAGTGGTTTCGATTCGGGCTGTCAGCTGGTTTTTTGAACCATCTGCAAAACGTTTCTTCCAAACTCTCAGAAAACTTTCTGTGCCGGCCTCCAGGGCGACGTCCCCTGCCATTGAGTTGGAAAGGTTGAGAATTGGTTATTTTCACTTCGAAACGTTTTTTTGGGCCCATGGTGTATCTGCATTCGGTTGTTTTTGATATCCTGGCACAATATATCTCCATTTGACAGGGTAGATGCTGCCCATGAAGACTTCAGAACTGTTTTCAGCCACCATGTTTACAGCTGAAATGTGATTTTCAGGTGCAAACCTATTCAAATGTCCTATGTGATGATTGACACTTCCTTGATCAGAACCATCTCTGGGACAATCAAGAGCAGCCTGAGTTTTGGGTAAATGATTTGTGTGATACAATGCTAATTATTTCTGCAAGATAGTCATTTTGCTGGCCAGCTTATACTGAACACAAATAATTGGAAAATTTTGAAAACTTACACAATAGAGATAGGCATCACACCAAAACAATTGGTCAAGGTATCAGATAAAGAGGGAGATGGGACACATTGGGTTTTCTTTTTGCTTTAAATCCACTGCAATGTTTGGGCATTGTTTGCACTGCCTTTGTGGTCACTATGTTTTCCATTGCTCTTATCCATAAACCCATTTACAAAAATATGGAATATGACAACAAGGATGGTGCAAGTGTGGAGATAATAGATGAAGTGGCAGGCTGCTACACTAAACTATGCTACAGGGCCACTTAGTGTTAGTGTAGCAGCACTAACAGTGGCCCTTTTTTGTGCAGTGTTAGTGCAACACTACCGCCACTGCACTGCACTAACAGTACCAATTTTTTTTGTAGTGTTAGCACACCATACGCTATGCTAGCGCACTTTTAGAGGAAAAAAGGCCAAAAAGCGCTCTAATGCAGGGTAATGAAAAATTGTTTGCGCCCTGTGCGTGTAGCGTTAGCACATATTGGTGGAATTGCACTAATGCTATGCTAAAAAATAGCACATTTGAGTTACACTATGCTACACTAACGCTATGGTCAGCGTAACTGGCCCACAGTTGATAGATGTTAATTTTTTAACTTGCTGTGGATTCAATTCTTGTTGATAAGTGCAAGAGTTTACATAAAAGTTTCACAAAATCTAATATTCCTCCTCTCAAACATACTTCCAAGTCAGGCTTGTCATGTGTCCATGGACCAGGCCGGTGGCTTGAACTGTGCCTTGCAAGCTACAAGGAATTGTATACAACATCCTGAACAACGCAATTGATTATTGAAACTGGTTCCCAGAATTGCATACATAATTTTGAGCAACACAAGGAAAATTGGGCTGAAAGAATCTTTCAAAACAATTTGAGTTTCAGTTTAATCTTCCTCAGAGGTTCTGGATATCAAAGGATGGGTTTGAAAAAGTTTCTCTAGTGATACAGCCTATTTTAGTGAGTTACAAACAATTGGAAGATGTTGTTGAGGAGTCAAGCAATACAACACTTTTGGGAAAGACAACAAAGACAAAATTGTCTGCATACACAAAAAAAAGACAGGACTGAGAAAATATTCTTGGACATTGATCTATCTCTTCAAAAAGAATGAAATGGAGATTTTCCAGGTGAATATGGAAAAATTATCTCCCAGTGAAAACTGTTCACCTTACATTCCCTTGGTGACTTATCATGTTACTAGCTCACATGCCGTGCAAACTGGTAATTTCAAAACAGTGTTTGAGTTTTTGATTGCTCAATTGATGGTGAGATAAAAATTTCTCACCTGCCCTTGCAGCATTATTATCATCCTTCAAAATGCTTGAATAAATGCATTGGTACCACCATCTATCTGATTGATTTTGGACATCTGCCAACCAGTTTGAAACCTTTAGCCGTTGTACTCAAAGAATTTTACAAAACCAAAGAGCAGGAAGACTTACCAACATACCTCTTTTCAGCATTAACATGATATTGGATTGGATTTATGGAGGGATTGGGTTCCTTTATGCTGTCTATTCCTTTAGTTCTGTCACCGCCGACGTAATAAAAGCATTTCTTGAATGTAAATTTTGACCCTGATATCAACGGTGCCACAGATACGAGACATGTATTTGTATCGGATCGTATCGTATTTATTTTGAGCCTGATACCGGTATCAGTATTTCCTTGGTTGGTGAAAAAATACATTGTATTGGATTTGGATTTAAAAATGAAAAAAAAAAAAATTCGTCTTCGTTTTTTTCGTTTTTTCTTCAATACAGCCAAGTATCTTATGTATCAAATACGGTTTTGGTGGGATCAGTCATCTGAGACAATACAGAATACATTTCTCACTTTTCAAATACGATACATGTATATGTCTCAGGAAAGTGAGACAACACAAATCCGGTATTTTTGGGTATTCCAATTCTGAGACGATACAGATAAACGCCTGATACCGTATCGTATTGTCTCTGTGGCACCGTTGCTGATATCAACCCCATACCATACCATGGGAGAAGAAGATTGCAATATTTGGTCAGTCTACTTAAACAGACTGATACTATACCAAAAAGCAAAACCCTGCTTGCAGTCAACTGTCTTGATTTTGCAGGATGAAAGCGGACAATTGAATTGCTGGTGCTTTCTGGACCTGTCGAGTTTCGTGGTTCTGCACACTGCAAGTTAGTGCGGGAGTGTTTTCACGGTTAGTGCTTTGGTAGTCCAATGCGATATACAAGCTGTGTATGCTTATTATATTTGTCTTGAATACCAATGGGGTAGAAAAATATATCACATGTTATGGTTTCTGGATTCGAAGCATGTCGCGCCGAGCCTGGATGGAGAGTGATGACAAGAGCTATGACAACCAGGATGGTTTGGAGTCTCGAAAAGGCAATCATAATGATTCAATGATAACACTTATTTACTGTAGATTTTACAGTTTTCTTTTCTTAGATCGAGAGATAGCGACCAATGAGTTGTTCATGTGGGGTTCTTTTAAGCATTCGGGGGGGGGGATGACACGAGACACCTCCGTTGCACTCTGTCCTTAACACTGTGTTTTGCTCCCCTGCCCACTTTGCTTCGGTCTCAGTCACACTTATGTTTCCGTCTCCTGCCCATGTATATGTTTGTTTGCGTTTCCCTTTTGATATGTATAATGAGATACAGCCATAGCAGGGAGTTCTTGCACAATCGCATCTCCGTCTCCAATTGGCCGAGGCAAGGAGAGGAAGCCAGATTACCCAAGTTGTCCAAAGGTTCGGTTTCAGGCTGAGGGCGACGGCCGGTTGTCGAAGCGGTTGCTGGATTCGGCTATGAGCTCGGTTGGGTTGACCCAGTTGTGAGCCCCCGCCCACTAACACCGACCGATGTATCCTTGACCATGGGGATAGCCAGCGAGGAGGTTGGTGGTGCCAATGGCCGCGAGGGTATACGGCATAAGTGAAAAAAAAAAACTCGAAACCTATCTCGGGGCTCATTATCTATTTCTCTTAAAACGTGGTACGTATTACCCCTCGGTACCATTAGCATCTTCCTTGCTGGAAAGCTCCTCCAAGAAAGTTATGATCATCTCGGTCTGTTGGATACTTCTTGTAGTGTTTGCTGACCTGGTGTTAAGCACATGATCCAGTCATCAGAGCAATTCTGAGGTCTCAATAATTGAGTTCGAGCATTATTGACCGAACTTAACAAAGTCCCGATGCCGAGGTCGCGAAATGGTGCTCTTACCCCGCGAGCAAGGGTGGGACTTGTATCAAGTTAGATTATTGACAGAGGTTCAAGTCTACGATGCGTTAAAAGATTTTTGCGGCCGTGGTGGCTTTTTCATTTGCCGCTATTTGATGGGCCTGGAGCTGAACTTGCTGATGGATGTACACGGCCGAAGTTCGAAAGGAGGTCGAGCAATGGTGGTTTTAGGTCTTCTATGCCCAAGTGATCACTAGGGCACGTTGTACCGTCCACTGAGCCTATTGTGGTTCCTGTATTTTCGCGATGGAGATTGCGGCAGCCGTCGCACCGATAATACAACTTTTTGCGGAGGTTCCTGCAATGATACCGAGTACCCCCGACTTTATATGGGCCACAATCGCCTACCCTTGGCCACCCGTAGGAGTCGACTTCGGCATCCGCAATTAACTGGTGTTTGCCTTGGCAATTGTTTGTTGATCCGGGTCCAATCGCTAGGACAGGCAGGGTGAGAAGCAGGATGGCCACACAGGCCGCTTTGAGGATATTCATATCTCTGAACATGGGGGCCAATCTGTGTAGGCAGAACGTGTTGGAACTACAACCAAGGGCCAGCGGAGTTGGGGATATCAACTGAAGTATTGACTTGAGTAGGAATTGATCCAGGGGAGGGAAGCTCAATCCAGCAATGTCCACAATGCGAAGTGACAATAGACTGTTCAGCTGCAGTGCTGCTGCGCTATGTGGACAACAATAATCCCCCTCTTCATGCTGGCTATTACTCAACCTGGGAATCAACCAAGGTTTGAAGAAATAAATGTCGAGTGAGCCAAAGGATTTTGATGAAGGAGGGGAAGAATGTAAAGTTTGGACGAGTTCTCTTTATTGAAAATCAATTCAGACAGCCAGTAGTAGTAGACAGACTTAACAAGTGAAATAAAAAAACAATCAAAGAGAGCCAATAAGAAAACCACCACAAGACCACAAGAAAGAATTAAAAATGAAGATTCAGTACCACCATTTGTAACTGATAGTCAAGTGATGAAAACTAAACAGGGCGATGAGATTCTATAACAACAAAAGACTTGAGAACAAAACTGAACACCAGAATATGATTTAGTTAATCATGAATCATAGATAACAAGAAACAACACGAATGAAAAAACAACAAACAAATAAGCTCCTTGATTGATTGTCTTCTTCCTCCTCCTGAACTGGTGTACTTGTCTGTTTCTGGTCTGTGTAATGAATCAAAATCAACAATAAGTTTTCTTCCTTAGTTATGCTTGAACTAATGTTAGAATACCTTAATTTATTCTATTGATCTTGATCTTGATGGTGTCAGCTCTTGAGATCTTCAATAATTGAATCAAATAATGAAAACAAACGAAAAACAATCCACACTGAGACTACAAGCAAAGCAAAACTAACAACCCAGAACTTCCAATTCAACCACATTTCACACGTGTGTACTTTCTCCTTCAACCTTCTACATCTCAACTACGTAATTAATTTCTCAACAAAGAATAAGATCTCACTGGAACGGCACAGGTGGCGGAATAAGAAGGAAGAACCAATGAGACTTGATTTCTTGTAACTGGCTAGGTTTGAATAGACTATGTACAAGATGATCAAGAAGTGGTTTAACAATTTGACTATTGAATATGATGACAGTATCACAAAGCTAACAATATTCAAGAAGACAAGTGTCACTAAAATAGACTAACCAGGGTTCAAACTTCATTGACTACAAGGATGTTGATCAGACATGCATATATTTAGATTAAAAACAGGCTATAATAATGAGAGGTCACATGAGTGATGAGATAAAAAAATTGTGATTTTTGGAAGGTTCAAGTCTACAATGTGTTAAAAGACTTTTGTGGTCATGCTGGCTTTTCCATTTGCCACTACTTGATGGGCCTGGCTGTCAAACTCAGGCTTGGAAACCCTGCAAACAAACTATTTTCTAAAAAAACATACAAAAAAAATTCCATTTCCAGTTCTTTTTTTATCCTTGTTACACTCTAGTCTCTTCTTTTTATATCTAAAAATAAGTTCTATCATTATCTAGTTATGGATCAAAAGATATGCTACAAAATTATTTCATTATGACAAACTCCATTCCTTAAGAATCATGAACTAAAGACTTGTTACTCAAACATTACCTAAAAAATATTTTATGTCTATAAATAGTTTATCTCTCTTGTTCTCCTCAAGAGACTTATTTTGTTATTTTTCTCTACTATTCTAAAAGTATAAGCCAATATCACATATTATACAAATTCCAAAACAGAGTTCAATGATATAGTAAAAAATTCAGGTGAAACTAAGAGTCTCAAAAGTTTTCAAAGTTCCCAAATTCTTTACACAGGCGCTGAACTTGCTGATGTGGATACACCACCAAAGTTTGCAAGGAGTTCAAGTAATGGTGGTTAAATGTATTCTTTGCCAGAGTGATTACTATGGCAACTTGTACTATCCAAGGAACTCAATGTGGGACCTACATTTTCACGATAGAACTGCCCTTGACCACTTGTATCTGACAACTTTGGCATTCGTGATTAAGCGGAATTTGCCTTGACCATGTGCAGGTCCAGTTTCAGCTGCCACAGTAAGTGGGATGAGCAGCAGGTTGGCAACACTGGAAACAGTGTTTTTTTTTCCCCTGAACTTGGGTGCCAATCCGTTCCAATCTGTGTGGGGGTAAATTTTTGGGATTGCAACCAAGGGGTAGGTAACAGGGTTGAGAATATTGACTTGAGAGGGAATCAATCCAAGGTATGGGAGCTCAATACAGCATAATCTCACCATGTATGAAGTGAACAAAGACGGTTCAGCTGTGCTGTTGGGCTATATAGGCAATAATTATCACCATCCTCATACTGGACCTGGAAATTGATGGTCAATTCAGCTGGAAGGCCTTTATGAATGACACCCTTGAAAAGCAACTCTAGCATTTGAGGAGTCCAAATTTCTTTCCCAAGGTAAAGAGCAAGTTTCAGGAGCCCAGATTCACAAAAAACAACTCTTTCCTTTTTTTTGCTTAAGGGACCCTTTGTTGGAATATTTAAGTGGGCCTAATTGCTGATTGTGGGAAGCTGTGCAATGATTTGTTGGTGTGAGATGCTTCAGTATAGCTGTTATTGCAGGATCATAAGCTGTATTGACTAAGACTAAGAGAGTGTGATTGGTATTGATTCCTGTGGATATGGCCAGAGGACACAGATGTAGTCTCCTGTGGCTGCCTGAGCTACAGTTAAGTAGGGCCCAGTGCCCTAGCTGGTTGCAGCACATTCATATACTCTGCAGATAAAATCCATTGTGGCAAGCTCTTTCTATTGCTGCCCGATGGTAATATTGAGGAGATCTTATTTGCAAATCAACATTTAAGAAATTCATACAAGAAAATGGGGAATGAGGAATGAAAAGGAAAAAAAAAAATACATTTAGAAGAGAGACTTTTGTCACATTGATGTACAAGAAACTGGAATAGAGAAAAACTTCTTTGACAATGTGAAAATATCCATCATGGTTAGGCAATGAAAAAAAAAAGAAAAAAAGAATCTCTCTGTGCATGTATGTACAAAATTTTGAGGTAGAGAGATTGTTTTGATATGGTAATCTTTCTGTCTAATACAGAATCCAACTGCAAAAAGGATGAAATCAAATTGGGTTGATCACATTCCAGAATTTCTTTCCCAAACTGAAATGCTTTACCCTAGAGTCACCCACCAACATCTCAATTGACTGCACAGTCAGTGCAGACTGGTGTTTTTGATAAAAATTGTGTCAGTTTGTGAGTTCTTATTTGATTGTGAACCAAGAAGTACTCACTGGCTCTTTGAGAATTGATAGCATCTGGCTTTTTAGGGTCAACAGGGCATTTGTACCATTTTCCATTGGACCGACCAAAGACCTCTGCCATCCCGATTTAAATCATGAGCAATTGTATGAAGAAACTCCATAGTCAAATATAAAATGACTCACGAAGATAGGTCTCTTTTGGGTCAACAATTACATGATATTGTACTGCCTTTACAGTTTCTGGTTTAGCTCCGACAACTGGTTGTTTGGTTTTGTCATTATCGGCATAAAGCAAACAATTTTCGAAGGCAAAACTTTCCCCTGATATGTCACCAAATATACAATTGTGCATCATGAGAGAGAAAAAAAATAACACCCGAAAATTCTGTAAATCCATTTTCACAAACTGAAAGCATGCAGGAATTTAAAAACCAGCTTACAGGAACCTGCCTTGATTGTGCATTTGGAAAGCGTGCACTTTAAATTCTGGTGCTTTCCTTTACTGTCGACTGCCGTGGTTCTGCACACTGCAAATAGTGCGAAGGTGTTTTCAGGTTTAGTGGTTTGGTAAGTCAATGTGACCTGCGAGTTATGATCTATGCTTACTATATTTGTCTGCAGTAGCGCTGGGGAAGAAATATATGTCACATGTTGCGGGTGCCGGCTTCGCAGCACTCGCCGCTGGGGCTGGATGGAGAGTAATGATAAGAGCTATAACGAGTAGGATGGTTTGGAGTCTCGGAAAAGCAATCATGATGACTCAAAGATGATACGCTAGAGTGATGTGTACTGTGAATTTGTGTACTGTGGATTTTATGAAGTTCTTTCTTAGATCGATGGGTGAGGAACTGTGAGGACTATGCTGGTGGTCTTATAAGCGCTTGGGGCAGAGTCGAATTGACGCACAAACAGATCTGATGAGGATCTCTGGCACACTTCTGCTTCGGCCCCCTAATGCCGGCCCATTCGGTCTTCAACTTGTATCTTGATCTCCAAGAAACCCACCCATTGCAAACATCTCCTGCACAACCGTATCTCGGTCTCCTACTCATTTAGGGAAAGAAAGGGGGCCGAGGCCGAAGGGAGCCGACTGGCTAGAGGTTTGCTATCAGACTCAGCACAGTGGCTCGTTGTATTCGTTGCTATGTTGGGTTCTGAGCTCTACTGGGTCGACCTGGTGTTGAGTGCATGCTCCAAGTGACCGATGGCTGTAAAACCCTTCGTGCATTTGGTCGGCGAGGAGGAAGATGATGGTCAAGAGGGGTAAGAGCACGGTTAAAGCGAGTTTCATCGCGAGCCTTACAATGGACAATAGCCTTTTATTCATTTATTCTGTTGCTGTCCTTCCATCGAGTCGCACTCGAACATTGTTATGTTCCTCCGGGCCTGGTTATCGGGAGTTTATTTTTTTGGTGACCATGGCATCAATCCGATCCCGATTCAAAATATGATACTAAATGACGATTTTAAAAGACTCCTGTCCTTACCGTTCCAAACCGATGATGATGTTTAAATGATGGAAAGGATCACGATGACCATGGCAATGACATCTCCATTTGAGGTCGGAGTCACCGGCGTCGTGTGAGGCCAGATTCCAGTGTTTTCATAACATACAGTTTGTTGATGATCAGGTCTTAATTTTTAAAAATTGCCACGAGTAGAAGGATAAGCAAAGAGTTGAAAAGAAATCACCTGCACGACCTGATCTTGTTCTACAGTCGTCTACCTCAGTCAGGGCAAGAGAGAGGGCCCACTGGTTACATAGGCGTTTGCTATCAGACAAGTGCAATCTGCTGTCAATCCTGCCCCACGTGACCAATGGTCATCAGACCGTCCTTCGTGTATTTGGTTGGCGATGAGGAAGAAAGCATGATTAAAAGAAGGGTAATGCATATCACCGGGAAATCTTTTGGGGGAGGTGGCGATGGCATCCATCTGATTCCGATTCAAACCAGACGACAGACCAAGTAACGAATTTTAACGGCTTGTCTTTACATACCATCCTAAAACGCTGATGAGGTTGAAATAATCGAAATGACCACAATGTCCTTCAGATCCCCCTTTCATGGCCGCGAAGTCAGCAGTGTCATGTCAGTCGAGTGCGGTTATTACATCAAGTTTCTAGATGATCAGGTGGTGATTTAAAGTCGCCACGAGGAGAAGGATAATCTATAATACTTGAAAAGAACCTGTCCCACAACAGCACCATCCAATTGATACTTCATAGCTGAACACAGCTTCCATTCTATCAGTCCGGTGCTCATATATATTTTAGTGGGAGTGTGAACACATCTCTATGTGGCCCGGCCAGGCCAGGGGATGGTTTGATTGGCGCAAGCATTGCGGCCGGACTTTTGGCAGAAAATTTGCGCAAAAGCGCCATATACTCCTGAACGGAACTGTGTCCCATATCAGTATGCCATTTGAACACTGAAGTTTTGCTTAGGGGATCAAGTTGAGTGTTGAAAACAAGACGTGTTCAGTGAAAATTTGCTAATAGGGGGGTTCACGATAGCGTTTCACCAGAAACATTTTATCGTCCCACCAGAAGTGTTGCGCACGCTGCGCAGGTAAAATTATATCGTACAATAAGAGTCGCCAGAAGGCACCCACCAAAAAAATTTATGTATGTGAACGCACTGGTGAGGCCATACCATCATTCCCCATAAACTTCTGGCCAGGTCAGAATACCGTCAGATCACCTAACCAACCATTTCCGCCGGCGCTGGTTCATCACTCAACACTGTATCATGCAAAAATACAGTGAGCAACAAGGTATCCTCCGGGACCTCTTCTTGATGCTCCTGTTCAATTTGACTCGGGGATTGGGGCCGACTTGTATGGGGAGACAAACGAAACCAGCGGTCGTCGTGAATCATCACCCAAAGTGTTTCTGTCTGGTTGGGAAGAGACCCAAGAAGAACAACCACCGTCGGGGTTAACCACGCCTGCGTCCCAGTTGGATTGGTCCCGCCACTCTTCAACGCTCGATCGGCTAACTGGCCAGGTCACCCCCCAACTGGATGGAGATAATGTACTTGACAAGGACGACAAACTTCCGCCACCTCTGGATTGCACTGGGACCGCCATGGACCCATCCCCATCGTTGATGACCCAGCGATCCTTTGCACGTGCGACCAATGGGTCTGGGATCCTCCCCTCATTGGGTGATGTCTCCTTGACTCAGGCTTCACCGACTCAGGCTCCAAACATGTCTCAACCTTTGTCGGCTTCGATGGATGATGCAGGGATGGGCGTATGTATGAAATATGCTTAAATGTGATTGGCAAAGAAAAACGATTGTGGAAACATAACCTTTCAGGGAGTTGTCGATGTGTAAATCAAGTGGAGGGGTTTATCTTGGGCAGATCAGAAACTCGGGGGGGCTAACTAAAGATTTATCATGTAGTTTGATGATCAACAAGATTTATGAATGCTGGCCAATGTTTGTGCCTGTTTTTTTAGCTTAAAATTTAACCCAAAAAGCACGCCAGCAAGAATTTTTTTAAGGGGGGGCCATAAGCCAAAAAACCTATTGTGAACCCCCCTAATGGGTGAGCTGGATTTGCTCGCTCAGTCAGTTGCGGCAAGTGTTGATGAACACTGCAAGTGGGTTATCAAGATTGAAGCCTCCTGCATCAGCCCTCAACCTTGTTCAAAAAAGGCAAAACGTGTAGGTTACAATCAAAGACGTAATTAAGGATAGTTAATGGAGATCTAAAAATGATGCAGTTTCTATGCACAGAAAAGGAAAAACAGGAAAAAAACATAGGGTGACATGGTCCATAACTAAATTAAAAAAATAGATAAAAGTGACCAATAGAACGTAGAGTCAAGAAGATCTGAGTAAAAATATCCATGTTCCTTCCTTCAACAAGTTGTAGTGGAGAAATGTCTCATGAATTTCTTCTGTGCTGAACCAAGAGGCAAGGAGGGGATGGAACTCTGTTGGCCCACTCAAGGTAAATTTGGTGGATTGGACTTGGCTGTAAGCAAATCCACCAGCATCTGCAGAAACCACAGACTGAATTGGCTTGGAGATTGAAACTTTCTTCACCTTTCTTTCTCTGCCCTTTTCCCTTTTTTAATCACCCTACATCAGACTAGATTAATATTACCAAGTAGCAGGTCTTAGTTGGTTTCTGAGTGCCTACTGAGTCAAATTTGAACCACATAAGCTCAACTCACTATTCTTGTCTCTACGGTATTATCTTCTCTTTTTCCTGACTTGTTGTGTGTTATTAAAAAAATCGATTAATAAGAATTAATGCCTCTTGTTATCTGTGATTTAAAACTTTTTTCTTGATTAACTCATCTGACATTACTAAAAGAGAATGAGAAGTTTTGTATAGTTTGTTACTTCCAAGAACTTGTTTTATCTTCTCTCAATTTTTATTCAAAATACTTTTTTCTTATTGATTAGCCCGGTTCACATTAGCCAGTTCAAATGGCTGATCACCTTGTTAAAAGTTGCTGATATAAAAATACTTTTTGGATGGATCTGGAATAATCTGGGGGACTCTGGACTACACATTCAAAAATGGAGGTGTTTTTAAGTATCAATGATTTGCTGATTACAGCTGAAATTTTTGCTGATGACTGGCTATTGTGAACCGGGCTATTCTTTCTCAAGCCACATTTTGATCACTTGTACCTAGTCTACTTAAGCTAGCCCACCTATAGTGAATAAAAATCATTGATTTTTTCATTCATTTTCCGTGAACCTTTCCCAAAAAAGGCCCTCAACCTTTTTTGCACCATCTTCTCAAAAATCCTCATTGCCATCCTGTCAGAAGCTCAAAAATTCAACATATGGAAAACGGTAGAATGCTCAAGACCCTCAAAGATTGTTTTTTCTTTGCAAGGATTGCCCTCTTAAGCCCCGGACGGGGTGAGGCCGACTGGTTTGGTCTGATTTGTCTTGTGATTCTGTTTTTTTTTTTTTGAATTTGTACAAATTTTGTGTTCTTTCATCATACACAGTTGTACTACTGACTGTTATACAAGATTTAGAGTGAAGAGTAGCTTGTACCGTATCATTAAAAGAATTGATTTAATTTACTTAACAAGAATGGCTAGAATCAATCCATTACCAACCTCAGTCAACGTGGTATGGTGTGCTGATGGTGTTTTTTTAAGCAAAAAATGGCATGGGGGGGGGAGAAGTAGTGCTAAGTCCTGCTGAGCTGAAATTTTCTTTCCTCACTTGATAGAGCTCACATTAATTATGTTGGAAGCTACTTTGGTTTTTTGATGCAATCAAAGCAGGCTGATGGTTTTGAAGAAGTGTGTCAGTTTGGAAATTCCTGAAAGATTGTAAGCAACAAGAGAATCAAATAGGAACTGCTTGTTTTCTGCAGGCTCCATCATTGTTATTGCACCTATACCAAATCTGATTACTAGCGTCCAAGGCGTCTAGGTACGGACCCAATTGAAAGGGTAAGCAAGTTTCAGAAAAAGGCTTCCAGTGCCCCTAAATATTCTAGTGTTATCAATACTTGCCCACAAAACCACTGTCTGGATAGAAGGCATATTTTAGAGGAAATAAGGTTTCCCTGTAGCCATTGGGGTTGGTTCTTCTGCACTTTTTGAAGTCAAAGTGGGGCCCTGATAAGGAATGAGGTGTGAAAAACATTTGGTCAACTTTTTACATTGTAAGTAAATACACCCCTCAATGTTGAAGTTTAAACATGCAGCTCACAGTCTTTGTTGTTGTCCGCGACGTTCATGCATGAAGCTGTACCGCAATAGTACCCCTCGTTTAAGCGGGACTAGCATTCTGAGGTAGTTTGAGAAATTGTTCAAGAGTTAGAAGGCTTTTAAGACAAAGTGACGTGAGAGCTACCAACAGATGCTTACCTGTCTTCAGTGGGTCTGAAGAAAGTTCGAAGTGTAGGTCACAGTCTACCGCTACAGACTCAGCGGAGTGAATAGCAAGCAGAGCTAAGGCTGCTGAGGTCAAGTACAATCTCTGTAAAAAATTCATGATGGATTATCTGAAGGGGGTTGGAAAAACGACTCCCTAAAATTTGCTGACGACTCCCATTTTGGTTGAGGGGTCGTCGGACGGGAGTCGTCTTTCCAATTCCCCCTGGGGAATTGGGAGTCGACTTCCCAATTTTTTTTATTAAAATTTATTTTTTTTGGTGGGAGTCGGCACCCAAAACCCTCCTTGGCAAGTGGGAGGTTTGGGAGTCGCCTCCCTCCCACTGGCCGGGGGGATTCCCTCCGGTCATTGAGACTGTACAGTCTCAATGACCGGAAAGAATCCCTTCCGGTCATCAAGACCATAAAATCTTGATGGCCGGAAGGAACCCCTTCCGGCCATCAAGACCAATCTTTGTGACCGGAAGTTCCGGCCAGTCTAGGCTCTACACCTCATTGATCGGAAGGATATCCTTCCAGCCGATGAGATACAACAACACCATCAACTGGAAGGAATCCCTTCCGGTCGATGGGGTGTGTAGAAAACCTCGACCCCAAGGATCCCC